AGAGTGTGCAAAGGAATTGCATGAAATCATTTCGCTATTCCCTTTCTATCATAGGGGAACTAGACGCAGGCTGGGGTTCCTCTATCTCTCCTCTACCTCTATATTGTGAATATACACAAGATTCGTTACGTTTCCACATTGCGTACACATGGCATACAGCATTGGAGTAGAACTCTCCGCATGCAAATTTATACCCTGAACGCTATAACTTGAGCCTTTTCAAGGCAAGATTAAATGGGCATTATAAACAAATTGTTACGATAGTATTACACGTTTACAAAGCATGTTGTTGTAATGGCCGGTTTTCTTTTCCTAAATATGATGTCGTGTTGAACACAAGTTTTATGTCATCATTTTAAATGGATGGTTAGAATACAATATAGCATTATCTTTTATACATATTCTTGTTTAAAGTTATTTTTTACGGTACCAAGTGACAGGACGAACAAATCATAATAGTGGTAAGCGACTCGCCTGTCCATAGCAATTGCAGTGCCACTCTGAGCGTGAAATCGCAAATGCGTCGGTCACCCTCAGACATAAGTTGACAAATCCCATGTGAATTTAATTTCACCAGCACCCTTACTCTTCAAACCCGATCGCAGTGATGCTCATATTACTGCTTGGCGGCAGAAATAAGTGAGGTGGCAGTACTTATTTGGACGAACTTTTCACAGGCTTTACTGATATTAGAAAACTATTTAAACATAAAAATCTCATGACTGTGACTATGGGACATTTAAAAAGCCCGAAACGTTGGTTTGTTTGAAAAAACAATGTACGCGATTATTGGAAAAAAAAGCCTATTATTATTCACTGTTGTAATTGTCAACAGGCTGACATAGCACATTCGGCCAAAGGCTACGAGTCAGAGGATGAGAACGCAGGCAGAAAGCGGCAGAGGGCCATCGACGAGCGGCCCACCAGCAAGACCACCATGTACTCTAAGCAGGTGTGTAATACACACACACATAGTAAGACAATAAATTTGAACCCACGTCCCGAGGCAAGCCTCAATCGACAGGCCTGTGGGCCGTGATAAGCTACTTAAGTTAGGTATGGGTAAGTAGAAATTTATTAAAAATCAATAAAAAGCTTTGGAGTCCCCTGAGATACTGCTATTCTCGCTTAGCGATCTTACGCTTTATGTTGCTCTCGCGCAAGTCGCGTCCTATCATGTTAGCCCTACTGATTGCATCGTCTGAAATGGACCTTTCTCAGTTACAAAGCAACACGAATTTGGCTAGAGTATTAGCCAAATTCGATGTAGAATAAATGTGAACAAATAAAAACATTATATTGTCTTCACCTAAGATTGTTTTAGGGTTACCACAATTTAAATATTTTTTCCCGAAATTCAATTTGGTTATAATATACTAATCTTGAAGTCATGTCTGTAACGAATTTTGTTCAATAGAAGTTTAAAATCACTAGTAAGTTATTTTGAAATCAACATAGAAATTACCAGTAAATAATTATTTACAAAACTGTGTCAGCCCAAATTATTTTTTTATTTGTAGGGAGAGATTGCAAACATTCGAATCCGGGTAGTAATTAATTCAAGTTTAGAATCGGAAATTAATGTTGGATGAGATATGCAGAAAATTAATGTAAAATAAATCTTACAATATTGTTTCTTTTCATCCACCATTTACAGCAGTAGCAGTAAACTGCCTTGTAACTGCCTCCGTGGCCGAACGGTCACCATGCCGGCCTGTCACGTAGTGGTCCCAGGTTCGATTCCCGGGCCGGGAGAAATATTTGTATGGCCTACATTTATTTCTCTCGTGAGTTTGGGTGTAATTTGTCATTGTGATTGTCTATGTGTGTGTCCATGGCACCCGCGACACAGGGTTTCCGTAGTTTATTCCGTAGGCTATGTTGAGTGTGTACGTTATTATTATTATTATTATTAAAATAAATAAACGATTTAAGGTCATCTAATTTTATAATTTGTTTTACTTTTTACATTCTGTTTACATTGACAGCAAACGTAATAGTTATTATTATTATTAAGTATCTTTTTATGCTATCAAACTACGTAATTACGTATTTAATCATACATATCAAAAGGTACTTTGCTAACTTTATACATAATAATTGGCCAGGTAATTATTTTTACTTTTACGTAACCCAATTCCCGACTTATCAATTTAACTTCCAATTATGCGAGCAGGTCGGAGGCAAAGCTTGGCTAAATCACAAGCATTGACAAAAATGTTCACTTCCTACGCATGAAGGCGTAGGTTACCTAGTGAACTTTTTGTTATTAAACCGGCTGTCCTGTAACAAAACCTAATAAATACTTTAGACAAAATTACACAGGAGAGCCCAAAAACTAAAATCATGGTCGCCCTACACTTTAATGTAAAAAAAAAGTAATAGTATTACTTAGGGTGCCAGTCAACGACGATATTGATGTCACAAAAATGATCACAACTTTATATATTAGATATTTTATACCCTTACTAACCTTATGTATTCAATTTTTATTTTATAATGCCAAGTGATGGGACGAACAAGTCGTGCACCTGGTGGTAAACGACACGGCTATCCATAACAGTCAGAGCTTTAAATCGCAAAGATCTTAAGGGCACAGCCACTGCGTTGACAAGTCCCAAGTGCCTGTGATTTCACCAGCACCCTTATTCTGGTCGATGATTCTGGCTGCTGCAGTAACTGTACTTATACATTTAGTAGCTGTAGAGCTTCTTGTGAAAGATTTCGTCCAGGAACATACCAGCCTTATTTATTTCTGTGCTTCGGTCTTGATTAAACATTATTTTGAACAATTTACAGGAGTTCCGAGAGCAGTACTGCATCAACAACAAACAACTGGATTTGCTGGAACTGGAGAAGTCCAAGAAGGACAGATTTCTCGGATGTCTTTCCCAGTACCACATCGAGAGCCCCTGCTCCAGAACCAATAGGTACAAAACCTTGTTATTAAAATATTATTGAGGTTACAAAATGTGTTTATAAACTTAAAACCTGCAAAGATATTTTTAGCAGACAAGTCACTTAATTATTATTAATGTCTGGTGTCTAAGTCTTGTTATTAAGCCGTGGGAAGCCCCCAAAAGGCTTTGTGCCAGCATAGCCTTCTACTATAGCCTTCGCTTGCGAGGAGACCCGGCCGTGAGACGTGTAAATGGGTTGATGATGATGAATGTCATGGTCCTCAAGAAAGCGAAATAACTTTTTGTCTTTGATAATGTTTCCAATAGTACTTGCGTATATTCCACAGTGCCCAATTTAAAAAAAGTGTGAAAATTGGATGTCATAATAATGACGATTAGATAACGAAATTTTTCGAAAGTTAATGTCAAAAAAAGTCAATGAATAATATTTTTCGCCGTTTGCACTGCATTATGTTCAATAAATATAATTATATTACAGAGGATTGAAAACAATCAATTATCGTTATGCCTGTAATAGAATGTTTGTGTATATTAAATATTCACCATCACAAACGTCACAAATTTAATAAGAAGCTAATTAGCTGCATTCAATATGTCGAAGCGCCTAATTATACGTAGTTTATAATATTGTAAGCTCGATGTAGAACTATTTAAATGGAGTATATTATCAACCTTATCAACGTTCCATGAGTCGAAAATTGGGTTCAACCATAAGTCCACACATACCTTAATATGGAGTCACAAGTAGGTACATGCGCTACTTCAATGTTACATATTTTAGTTGGATATTTTTTAACTTGTATTTTTTTTAATTAATAAACAGTATGGATGTTATATATGCCGCACGGAGAAACGTTGAGGGAAACTCCCTCGTCACTAATTGTGTCAGGAATTATTTGATAATAATTGGTATTGGTTTCATTCTTCGTTATCAATTCGTCATGCCGGCGGCGGTGAATAGGGAATCGGACAATTTTTCAGAAAGTGTCTAGAATTAACTAAAATATATATGTACAGCCATGAAAAATAATATTTTATTAAAATAAAGCTTAATAGTCTCTAAAATGTGCTAAAACTACGTTAAAATTTAAATAGAAACAAATTGGCGCGCAAACGTAACAAAATGTCAAATTGAACGCGTGACGTCATTTGTAGGTAAACAAGCTACGAAATCAAAGGCAAGGTGTTATTTTAAAGTTTTTGTGAAGTTTGAAGTCGTTATGGAAAGGAAAACATATCGTTGGTGTGTAGTACCTCAATGTAGGAATACTTCTATAATTACCCCAAATAAACTATTTATTGATGTACCTCGAAAATCCGACATACGAAAAAAATGGTTGGTCCTAGCACGACGAAATGTCTGTAAATTCAGCGATATACTTTTGTGATGATCACTTCGACGTAAGTACAGTTTATGCAGTGAGTGATACATAGATCGAAGCATGTGTTAATAATTATATAGTAAATGTTGTGTTATATTCACTAGTGCCTTTAATTATGTAATGTAATAATTATGTATTCGAATTTTAGCTGCCGAATGATATGGAAAATTACATGCGATGGAAGGACTGTACATTACCATCGCACGATTTGAGAGGTGGGAAATTTAGTTTCTCATATAACACAGGAAGTGGAGACAGGGGGGAGGGTCTGGGGGTAGATTTTTCCCGCCAGGGGTTCGGAGGGAGGGGTTTACTCTTCTGTGCGAAAACATGATTTTTTGAGGTAATTTTTTTCGAATTTTCAAAAATTGATATATCGAAAACTATTAACGTCCTAACTTTGAAACTTTGCACGAAAGGTCCCCCTTCCCCCCCCCCAGCCCTCAAATCGATAGTAATACAGTCCTTCCATCGCATGTAATTTTCCATATCATTCGGCAGCTAAAATTCGAATACATAATTATTACATTACGTAATTAAAGGCACTAGTGAATATAACACAACATTTACTATATAATTATTAACACATGCTTCGATCTATGTATCACTCACTGCATAAAGTGTACTTACGTCGAAGTGATCCTCACAAAAGTATATCGCTGAATTTACAGACATTTCGTCGTGCTAGGACCAACCATTTTTTTCGTATGTCGGATTTTCGAGGTACATCAATAAATAGTTTATTTGGGGTAGTTATAGAAGTATTCCTACATTGAGGTACTACACACCAACGATATGTTTTCCGTTCCATAACGACTTCAAACTTCACAAAAACTTTAAAATAACACTTTGCCCTTGATTTCGTAGCTTGTTTACCTACAAATGACGTCACGCGTTCAATTTGACATTTCGTTACGTTTGCGCGCCAATTTGTTTCTATTTAAATTTTAACGTAGTTTTAGCACATTTTAGAGACTATTAAGCTTTATTTTAATAAAATATTATTTTTCATGGCTGTACATATCTATTTTAGTTAATTCTAGACACTTTCTGAAAAATTGTCCGATTCCCTATTGTAACATCAAATTAGTTAAATTTAGAGCTAATGGGTTTGTAAGTGCACATATAAACAGCGACCTGTCAAACATTTTCTTCCTCGCCGAAAACTGACACTCAACAACTCCATTCGGCGTTACCCACTCTAAAATAATAATAACTACAGCCATTGATTTAGCGAATAAACTAACTAAGTATTCGATGTCTCGATAGTCATTAATGAACTGTTTAAATAACGCGCCGTTATGTATAATGTGAGAGAAAAAGACAAAACCAACTATTTGCTGAAAACCAGCGCCACGAAACGGTTTAATAAAAAGCCGTTTGTGGATAAAGCTGAGAAAGTCCCGATTGCACCAGCCGCGACATGCATGGCGGTGAATTAGGTACTGCATTGTTGTTTTAATTCAGTAATCAGTCATTGTTTTAATTCACCATTTTTTTATTGTTACTATTATATCATTATTTATTTGGATTCTCGCCTCTCCGAGGGCCTAAAAGTTTAATTTTGAATTGTTATTATTATTATCATTGTTCCTCTGTTGCTTTGTCTATATGCGCATCTGTGATTGTGTAATAAACAGTTTTCTTTCTTTTCTTTCTATTTCACACAAATTCCGGTAGATTTTAGGGGTTTCATTTCAGCCTTTATATGAGGTACTGTGAACGTGTTATGTGTCAAATCCAAACGAGTAACCATGGACTCTCGACAAGACTGGATTTCCTCTCCACCGACTCTTGCATTGGTCAAGTACCTATCTACAACTGTGTTGTCATCTGCATACGCAGAGATACCTGGAATTAACGTAATAATTCATATGTAGCAACAAGAGAGTTGCAGACAGTACGAAACCTTTCTACAGGCGTCTAATTTGAAGGCACTCTCTAAGGTTCGACTTCTGCGAAAAATTGTAAATTTCAGTACCTGTAAACCCGTAATTTTCAGTATTTTTATTTTTTAGATCAATATTGCCAAAAAAGCAGCAAAACTTTTTTATAAGGGCCAAATAAATAAATCTTCATTTCAGTTAATACCTTGCCTTTATCTCATTTTGATACAGGTAACAAAGCTGAACAAATGTACAAAGATTTGCCCAAATTGCTACGACGAGGTTGTGGTAATAGTCAATGAGTTTGGTGAATCAGTTTCAATACAACCGGACAATAGCTTTCAGTAATACTCCACTTGTACCTATTTAAGGGTTTCAGGAAAAAAGTATATATTGTACAATATGTATGTATTATTATTGTATTTTAGATTATAGAACTATATTATACTGATGTTAAACAACAATTTTTGTTCTATGACTTATTAGGAAACGAAATAAATTTACCAAAACTAAATTTTAAGATCTTGTTGTACGATGTGACACTTTTTATGTCTGTATTTGGTAGTAATATAGTAAGTTCAAACGTGCAAGCGTCCTCCATGGCGACCTCCAGCCCCGCTCCTGCATTTTGCATCAGACTGGTATTTACGCTAGCGCTTTCTTTTGTCATCGCAGAAAATTATCAACGTTGAGAGCGGTATATTTAAATATTAATATATTTGCACGACAGTTAGTCTAATGAGTTATTGAACAAAATGGAACAAAAGTTGTTGTTTATGGTGTTAGTATTATAGTAAAGATAGGTTGTCAGTATTTTACAAATAACCCTGTATATTTAAATGTTAATTGAATGTGACAGTTTTATCATCATCACGGTTCTCCTCTAAGAAGAGATTAAATCCTCTAGACTCCACCCGGCTGGTCTAATGCAAGTTGGATACTTCATACGTTTTCTGAAGCGTTTTCTCTAGCTGTTTGTAAGCGGGCAACACTTTTCCGCAATGAATTGTAATTTTACTCCGTCTTGGAAAAAAGAGAGTATAGCCGCAGACTAAAAATAACGTCTCACAGTCCACATCTGTTCCTAGCTTTTGAAATTTTTATACAATGTGTTTTTTTTAACTGGACAGTATGGGGAAGTCCAAAACCACAGAAGCCACAGGAAAACTGTCTTACGAGCCATTAAGCCGATGAGGTGCCTAAAATCTCTTAAATATGGTGTTTTTGTGTAAGATTTTAGGCGATAACATAGCACGTGGAACTTTGAAAATAGTACATCCTGTAACACGTATCTTGAAGTGTAGCTTGAAAATCCTAGAATATTGCTTAATGTCATAGGTAATACAAATACTGGATTACAGTGAGACTCTGGTGGTTATTATTTGACATATTTTTCTCGGGCAAACCAAACTTGCTTACTACCAAATTTGGTGTGGTTATTTAAATGGTACTTATCTTGATCCTGACACTTTATTTGTTTTAAATAAAAGACAAATAACAAATTTAGGAGTAAAAAGTAATTTTCGGCTACTAAAGTACGAGCTAAATATTTGCTTGCAAATTATGGACAGTTACTTGACAGTGTGAAAAAATATCGTACACAAAAAAATACGTAAATAAGTAAATATAATGCACCAATTCGTTGAAATCAAAACAAAATATTCAAAAAAAGTCAAATTTAGCCATTAGGTGAGAATAAAAAAAAAATATTTTTGGTTGGATTAGAACCTAAAACACAAAG